CAGGGACATCTTCAACCAGATCAGGTCACCCAGAACCACATCCAGCCTGGCCTGGGATGTCTCCAGCGATGGTTCATCCACTGCCTCTCTGGGCAACCTGTGCCAGTGTTTTACCACCCTCATTGTACAGAATTTCTTCCTCACATCCAGTTTGAATCTCCCTCTTTTAGTTTAAAACCATCACCCCTCTAGCTAGGTTGTACCCCTTGCTTCCGACCACCTTGCCATGACCCTTGGGGTAGATGATATGTGGTGGAGCAACCTCAGCAAGCTACAAGCATGCGTGCAGGCCAGCATCCCTGCAAAAGGTGCAGAAGAGGTGCTGAGCTTTCCAGGAGAGCCTATCAAGCTGCAGAGCAAACAGCACCGCGGTGCTACCCCTGTATCAAGGTGATGGCATGAAGCACTGTGGTGGCCAAGCCTGTTCTCTGGAGAGGTGTGTTGGTTGTGTGGGTTCAGATCCCCCTCGGGCAGAGCAGGGGTTTGGATCCAGGTACTTCATATCCGGAGTGAGTGTTGCCACTACTCGTCCTCTGTATCTAACCTGCCTCCTCTGGCTGCCGCCGGCTTGTGAATGGTGCCTGAGTCAGCCTCATCCAACTGGTTTGCATTCAAAATGGCTCGAGTGGAGCAAGCCTACGACTGAACTGGAACGAGCAAAACACCAGTCATTTTGGGAGAAAGTCACATCTGGGACGGTCCTGTTGGTGGCTCTTGTGGGCTTTGATTCCTCGGGCTGTCCAGTGGCGTCACATGAAACAATCCATAGATCCTTATGGATAAACTGCTGCAATAAAATACAGCCCTCTAGCTAAAACTAGTTGGACTCCATTCAAACTCCTGCTCTGTTTAGGCACTGTACATAGGCATGAAAATTGCTGTCCTGCCAAGTCCTTCCCTTGGATGTATGTATGCACACGCTGTGTGAGTGCCGCTGGCTCTACTACTCTTCTACATTGCACCCCTGTACAGGAGAAAATGTCTTTTTGACATTTATATATACATACTGAAAAATATTAGGAGATTAGTGTCAGGTGCAACCACAGTAGATAAGTTTAGGCTAAACTCTCTGGGGTAATCCCACTTGGTTTATGCTATGTGGTTGGTTTGTAAGTCAAGTTGGAGAGCTCTGAGCCATAAAATTGATGTAAGTTATAGAGAAAAGCATCATACAGTTGAGAAAAGGCTAGCCAACATGTGTTTGCAGAGAGAGGAGTGTTACTCTAGTGATAAAGGCATGCTGTGGTGAGACAGCTGTCGTGAAGGCAGTCTGAAATGAGAATGAGCGGTAGTGAAATCCAATTGCGGCAGAGAAGATGCAGCCCGAGATGAGGGGAGTTGAAACAGCCATGAGAGGCTGCAAAGCTCTAATTGCTTAGAGGAAGAGAAATAGGGTGAGATGAGATGCCTGCGTTAGCCTGTGAACCAGCTCAGGGCTTGGGGCTTCACCTCTGACATCTTCTAGTCCAGCAATTCCATTGTGTAGACGGAGCCTAGATCTGGGTTGGCAATTCTTCCTCTTGTTGGTTTGGATATCCTGTGTGTCATCCCTGTGCAGCATGGATGAGGCATGGAAATTCCTCCTATACAAGAAACATGTGCAGTTACTGGTAATCCTAATAAAAAGGCATGCTGTGGGAATCACAGACAAAAGCACATTAGTGTGAGTCACAAAAACTCGCTCATGCTTATGAAAGCTCTGCAATAGAGGTGCTTTTAAAGTTCACTCTGTGTCTATAGGTTGTGGGGTTTAGCCTATTTAGCCATTTAGTTTTAGTGACTTTGGGATCACTGGATATACTTTCTGCATTCTTCTTTTCTATTTTTCCCATGACTATGGGATTTGGTAGTCAAATGTAGCTTAGCACATCCCTAGCAGCTGCCTGCTGTTGACATTACAGCACTGTGCTCTTTATTTCTTGGCCAGAATTACTGTCTATGAGTTTCATCTTAGCAAGCTGTTTCTTTATGCAGTGATTTAGCTTGGTGTCTGTCCTGGTGAGGTCTTCTAACAGACGGCTTTGCTGAACTGAATTTGGTTTGTGTGTGCATCTTTATTGCCTACTGGGATGTTGGTACATTGATCATTAAAGTAATTCTGTGATTTTAGAATCCCAGATTGGTTTGGGTTGGAAACGACCTTAAGATCATCCAGCTCCAACCCCTGCCATGGGCAGGGACACCTCACACCAGACCAGGTTGCTCCAAGGCCCATCCAACCTGGCCTTGAACACTGCCAGGGATAGGGCAGCCACAGCTTCTCTGGGCACCCTGTGCCAGCGCCTCAGCACCCTCACAGGGAAGAACTTCTGCCTTAGATTCAACCTGAACTTCCCCTGTTTCAGTTTGAACCCATCACCCCTTGTCCTGTCACTAAAGTCCCTGATGAAGAGAGGGCAGGTCCCGTTTTGGAAGGCTGAGGCATGAGGTCAGTAGTCATCATTAATACTGAGCTGACAAGGATTTGATATTCTTGCAGGGAGATCAAGCAAATGACTACCTGCTTATGAAGTTGAGAGGACGAGGGGGCAGCAAAAAACCCAGGCAACAGAAGTCAGGTCTTTCAGGGGCTGGGGAAGATGATGCCTTGTTTTGACCCCTGTAGGGAGGCTTTGCTTATTTCAATATGCCATTCAAACCATGGAAAATCTCTGCTTCAGCTCAGGGTGTGTATTTGTTTTGGTCTAAAGCTAGTCATGTGCTTAAGGTTATGCTTAAACTTAATCCTGGTGACTAAAAATGGTCTTGGGGCCATACGCGAGCAGTTTTGGCTGCCCCATCCCTGGCAGTGTTCAGGGCCGGGTTGGACACAGGGGCTTGGAGCAACCTGGTCTGGTGTGAGGTGTCCCTGCCCATGGTAGGAGGTTGGAACTGGGTGAGCTTTAAGGTCCCTTCCAACCCAAACCAGTCTGGGATTGGGTTCAGAAATGGTGGCTGTTACTTGTGTTGCTCTGTCCTGCCAGTGTGGCCCTATGGTTGTGCTATCGCAGGGATGGGGCAAGGGACAGTGATAACTGCTTGACCAGAAAGCAAGGAGCAGACTTTTCAGTGGGACTTACAAACTCTAGACGCCTGTAACAATTACTTTATGCAAGAAAGAAGTCTCTTTTGTGTCTAGTTATTAAATATTGGTATTAGGCTTCAGAGCATTTCATGTCTGGGTGACACAAGCATCAGAAAAATTAGGACCATTGTGATCAAAGGGTGTTTTGTGCACTAAGTAGGATAAATAAAAAGCCCCAAAGAACCCCCAAAATGCCCAGCAGTGTGGAAAACCAAACTCTGGGCTAGGCTGGGAGCAGTTGTTTCACTTGCTGTTCAGAACACTTCCTCCCAAAGGAGGAGGAGGAGGAGGAGGAGAAGCAGCAGCCCTGGTTGTTGCCTTTGCTTTCCTCTCTTCTTTTCCCCACCCTGCAGATGTTGCCCCTGCAGTTATCCCCTGTGTGCTCAGAAGGCCATTGCACAAGGCAGTTCCTAGCCTGTATGGTTGTCTTTTTCTGTTGTTTATTTTCCCTCAGGGAACCCCATACTGGAAACCTCTGCTCAAACATTCCTAAGGCAGAAACACAGATGCTGAATAGTGCCAGCATTGGAAGAGGCAAGAGAATTCAGTGTCAGGCTCTGTGGTCAGAGGACTGTCTGTCACTTAGAAGGTGGAGGCAAGTTGCTTGGTGATCAGGTTCTCCCTAATGGTGTTATAGGGGTAGTAAACTTGTTGTTAGCAAGTATGTGTAGAAATTTCACAAGCCTCATAGTGAGGGGTTTCATTTAAAGCTGTTGATCCTGGAGGCAAATAGTTAAGGCAGTTTCAAGGACTTGCTACGTCTCTCAACTCCAAGATTGTATAGAAAAGCCAGAAAGGCTGGAATAAGGCTCAAGACCAGCAAAACTCAACTCAAAGCATGATGGAGTAACTCTTTGAGCACTCTCTTCTTTTGTACTCCCCCTACCAGGGAGGTTTTTGATGCATGGTGTTTGCAAACCTGAAGCTGCAGTGTTCCCATTGGCACACTGGGAAGGATGGTGGGATGGTTGAGGGTCTGTGGTGTGCTCGTGCTTCAGCCAAGGCTGGGCTTAATCTTTGCTAAGCATCAAACTGATGCTGATAACTTTTCTAGTCATCCTGAATGTGCAGTCAGTGCTCCTTGGTGCCTTATATCACATGTGTATTTTCAGAAGCCAGACAGGATTGGTCCATTTGTTGATAAATCACTACCCATAAAAGGATATTCAACACACAGTTCATTCTGTGGCTCCAGTATTTCCTGTGAGAGCTTCTCATGCATTTGGTAGTGCTTGGGGCTGGGCTGAAATCTGTGAGGATTGCTGAGGATTTAATGCCAAAAAGGCAATGGTCATGTCAGGGATGGAGAGGAGGTATCCAAGCACACATGGTCCATACGATACCTTCCTAGGGGCATTGCATATTGTACCTTCAGGGAATGAACTATAAAAGGTGGGAAAGGGCTGTGACCACAGGTATAAATGTCTGTTGGGATGTGCTTTTGGTATTGCTGGAATACCTCATCTGGTCTACTGTAATTGTTGAGGTATATCCAGAGATTCACCCGTACCGTCATGTGCAATTGAAGCTGTGTTGTTGTTTGGCTGCTGATAAACTTCCTTTACTGAGTCACGACTTCATGGGTGCCTTCTGAAATGAAGCAGGCTGTGTGATGGGCATAATAGACGGAAAACCAAAATCAAGACAAGGGCAATTTGAGAGGAATAGCTGAACTACTTAATAAACGTGAAACAAATAACCCTGGTGAAGGTAACGTGGAGCAGAACTGGTCCTACACAAATTCCATGTATACTTCTCTGGGCCCATGAAGTGTGCTGGGCTGGAAGAGGTGAGGCGTTTTGTGTCAGTCCAACACCAAAGACTTCTGAGAACATGGATGCAGGTATTCCTTGTGGCATCTGTGGGGATGTGTGGAGAGGCTGGTGATACCCATATGTGCTATAACATAACACCTCTGTTTGGTTTCCCTTCCTAGCTTCCTTTACAATCTCCCTTCGCACGGTGGACAGTGTCACAGTTACGATTAAACTGAGACCCAGTGTTCCACCAAGCTGTCGGATTCGTGTTAAAAACGGCACCAGGTCTGAGCTCAAGATAAAGCCTGGGAACAACACGACTTTTACCTTCACTTGTAGTACTCCAGAGAAGTATTTCATCATGGAAATTGAGAAGAAAATTGGTAAGATACAGGGTTTTCATTCCACACACACCCCCCACCCCCACCCCCCCAATGATAATGTTCCTCCAGTAAAACCACATATACCTTGGTTTCCTGTTACTGTATTAAGGTATCCCCTATAAGCTTGGAAAGAAGAAATCTCTGAACGCTGATAAACACCCTTACAGCTGGCAGTGTTAATGTTTACTTGGCTGTTTCGGGAACTGTTCCATGATCCTTGCATCAGTTCCTGCTGCCTTCCCTTTTCCCACAGTTTGTAAACCCATCAAAGAATCTTTTTCTTCTTGTCAAAAGCCTCTGAGCACTGCTGACGATGTGTTACCCACGTTATTTGTTGAACAGCTTGGTTGTGCCTATAAGGGCAGCAGAAGCATTGAAGACATGCACGTGTTTCCTTGTATCTAATGAATGTTATTGAAGTCAAGAAACCAAAAAGCTGAAAGTGGTGTAACTAAAGCTTCCTTTGCACTGAATGTTATCCCTGGTGTATGTGTGTTAATGTGCGTTTTAATAGCATGAACACGTGCTGCTTCTCAGTGAGGTCCCAAACTTCATTGGGCATTCAGTCTTTGGTAGCATCTTTGTTACTTCTGGGGAGGTGTTCAGGGATGGTTCTCTTCATGTTTTGGAGTTTTATTTGTGTGATTGATGCAAATAATAATCTTCACAGTATTTCATGATATATTTGAAAGATGCACTTGTGATATTTCTTCTTTTAAGTTAGAGCCTAGACGTAGGTTTAAGTGTGCTTATTTTTAGTGTCCAGCTTGAAATACCAGTAATCTGGATTTTTCAGAGGCAAGGTTTCTGAGTTCTCCCCAGAATCCTGCAGTGGCCATTGTCGTTCATCACCTCTGCAAAATCTGAGGCCCAGGTTGTTCATCAGGGCAGCAAAGAAATGAAGATATGGCTCATGGCAAGCAGTGGAAGATTTAAAGATGAATGATTTGCCAGGAATTTTCAGGGAGCGATGGGATAAAATAGTTTCTCTGGATCGATGGTTTCCAGCTCTCCTGACATTGTGTTTCTCCCTTTTGCCCATTCAGCGCTCTGCCCTGTTCATGAAATACCTTCTAAGTTCTTCAGCAAACAAGGCAGTAATACTGGAGACAATGAATCCCTTCTATTAGTCAGCCTGAGTAAAGCAGGTTTATCCTGTCTACTCTAGGAGTCCTGTTTAGAGACAGCATGTGACCATAGGATCACAGAGTAGAGGAATGTCTTTCAGTGCATGTCAAAGAGAAGAGCAACCTAAACTTAGAAAAATAGCAATGAAAGGGAAACTAAAACTCCTGTTTACTTGGATGCTCTCCAGAGTGTATCATGGCTGTTCTCTCTCTGCATTTAGACTGTGTGTCAGGCCCCTGTCCCTTTGGAGATGTTCATCTTTACCCACCGGGGCTACCTCGCCTTAACAGGACTTTCATCTGGGACGTGAAGGCGAGCACAAAGGCTGGACTTGAACTGAAATTTACCCCGTGGCTGAAGCAGATTGAGCCAGGAGAGAGGTGCCCGGATTCCCTCAGCTACAACATCAACAGCTGTATCGATCAAGCCACGGTCAACATCGGCACCTTCTGCAGGAACGGCTCGGTGTCTCGCGTCAAGCTGCTGGGAGGAGTTATCATGGCTCTGCACCTCCCATGGAACTCACCTCTCAACACCTCGGGCTTCAACATAGCTAACAGGGCTTCCATAAAACGTGAGTAGAGAGGAATGGTTCCTCGCTGTTCTTTAAGCCTTTCTTCTCAGGTAACATTTTGGTCCTGTTATCTATAGCTCCCTTCCACTTCATCTGTTTCTAAAAGCTGTCATTGTATGGGTTTTAGTTCAGTAGCTGGTGCTCTTCTGGGGTCAAAATATCTTAGCTTGATCAGTTGATAGGTATAAAAACTGTCACATCACTGCTTTTGGCACATGTTACTCATTTCTGATCTCTTTAAACTTCCTAAAACTTAATTGTACCTGCTCTGTTGGTTTTGTGTTTGCAGCTAGGTGAGACTAGATAGCGTAATTAGAATGAGCTAACAGAGTTATCTGTTGGTTGCAGTGTGTAGTTGGGTTTGATTATATTTAAATGAAGCTACATAACTTCTTGAGCTTCAAACCAATGCCTTTCTTCAGGAGAGGAAGGTAGGAAAAGGGGAAGCAGTGCCTGGAAGGCACATGAAGCTGCTTAAACACAGCTATCTGTTTCAACCTGCACAGAACAGAAAACATTGTGTAATAATCTTCTTAAGATACCTAGAATATTATATAGCAATCGATCACTGGGTTACTTTGTGATCTCATGACAAACCCTCTCTGGGAGGTGTTCTTGCTCTATGCTTGAGTTATGCAGTTCTTGCCATCAGTTATAGAAGGAACCTGGTCCAGGTTCGAGCTTCTAGAACATGAGTTTTTGTAACTCCTGGCATTGCTCACAGTTGCACATCATCGCATGGTCTTAGAGCAGGACCATAATCTCTGTGTACCCAGCTTCACACTGCCAAGAGTCATCCAAACATAAAGTGTCTTACGCAGCCTCCATGGTTCACATTCATGTTTTATCATGCGTATTTGAGGCTCTTCACTGGCGTGCTCTTGTTAGATCTGAGAGGTTTTTGGCCAGTGAGCTCTGTGCTGATATGAAAGCTCACACCTTTTGTTTCCCAAAAGCCAGTGAGGAGGTTGTCAGGTTCATGTTTGATCTTGCAAAGGCAGGAGCAGAAGTAGGAACTGGGATCTTTCCAAAGAATACAGGCTTGTCTGTCCATGTGCTGGAAAGGTGAACCCACTAAACTGAAAACAGAGCATTACTATATCCCTTCCCTTTCCTGTAATTAAAGACAGAAGCATTGACTGCAGTGTATGTTTTAGTCTGAAGGTTTTGTAATAACCTAACCTGCAGCTCAAGTGGATGATCTCACTGTCAAAATACTCTGCTGCTGGGCTGCTAGATATGCCAGTGTGTTTTCATTAACTGGAACTTGTTTTGTATGGTTTCCCCTACCCCGTTTCAGGGTTATGCATTATTGAATCCATTTTGAAGGAGGAGTCTTCAATCACCCTGATGTCCCCAAACTACCCGCTGGGCTTTCCAGAAGATGAGCTCATGACGTGGCAGTTCGTGGTTCCTTCTAACATGAGAGCAAGCGTGTTTTTCCACAACTACAGCCTCTCCAACTGCGAAAGGAAAGAGGAGAGGGTGGAGTATTACATCCCTGGCTCCCCCAGCAACCCAGAGGTGTTCAAGCTGAGCGACAGCCAGCCTGCCAATATCGCTGGCAGCTTCAACCTGTCCCTGCAGGGCTGTGATCAGGATGCCCAGAACCCAGGCATCCTCCGCTTGCTCTTCCAAGTCGTCGTTCAGCACCCACAGGTCGATGAGAGTAAGTACCTGGCCTGCCTCTTCCATTGCTTTTGCCTGCAGACAGCTGGGCTGAGCACCACAAGAAAGAGAAATATTTGGGTTTTGGGGTAATTCTCCTTGAATTTTGGGCTGTCCTTGAGTTCCAGGAAGTGGGTTGCCAAGCGATACTGAGGTGTTTTACCACCCTGGGTACCACCAGCTGCGGTTACAGCAAGGCAAACAGTGATGCTCAGATTTGCAATGGAGTACAAAGCTCCACTTTAGATTTTACACTGTAGCTTGCAAAGGAGATTCCTTTTCCAGCACATGCAAGATGTAACTGAAGAATGCCTATAACACCTGGGGTATCAGGTCTTGCATGTTGTAGAGACAGAGCTAAGCACTGGCTAGCTTTTCCTTGTGATTGTGTTCCCTCTAAGGGCCTGATCTGGCTATTTGGGCAAGGACCATAACTGCTTGACAAGAGTTACCCAGACTCACACGTGCTGCCTGTTCTCCAGTAGAGAAACCAAATTCAAGCTTCAACACTTATTTTTAGATGTAAGATTCAACATTTTAAAGACCATACTTACAGTATGAGCCCAGGTTTCTGCTCTGGATATAAGCAGTCATACTTAGCAAGGGGAAACCTGCTGTTATGGTAGGTAGCAAGATCCATAGCATGAAAAGAGAAATGTGAGATTGTCTCCATGCTGCTAATGGCATCAGTATGTGTTTCCTTTCCATCCCTTTCCATCCCTTTCCATCCCTTTCCATCCCTTTCCATCCCTTTCCATCCCTTTCCATCCCTTTCCATCCCTTTCCATCCCTTTCCATCCCTTTCCATCCCTCTTTCCTTCCCTTTTTCCTCCCCTTCCCTTTCCCAGAGAAGCCTGAACGTTATCCACTGTGAAGAAATCACACTGAACATGGAAGTTGTAAGATACCCCACTAATAACATCTCCTACATATATGGCTGTTCTTTAGGTTTTTGCTGCTTGTTCTTCCATGAAGAATTTTACTTTTTTCCTGTTTTCTTGCTCCAAATTCAGACTGGCTCAACACAATGTACTTGTAATACCAGAGAACTTACTAATACCTGAAATAAAAGGCCTGGCTAGGTACTGGAGTTAGTGGCAGTAGGCTATGGAGTTAGTGATTTATCATCTGGCTTCTTAGCTCTGACCTCAGCTCATGGTGGAGGTTAGTAGTGAAGGTACACTCACTGCAGAGGAGCAGGCAGAGGAAAGCCCACACTCTGGCCTCACTGCAGCAGGAGCAACTCCGAGGCTTTCTAGGGAATTATAAAGGGAATAAGGTTTAAATGGCTTGTATGTTGAAGTCACAGATCCAGAAAGGGTCTGTAGCATCTCACCACTGTAACCCTCAGTTCTGTCTCTGCCACATCAAGCTGCATCCATGAACAGCAGATACTCCTAAAATTGGTGTTAACCAAATCATATTCACTCACATTTATTGTGTGCTGCAGCTTGGAAACTAGGCAGAGTGAAAACATTGTATTCAGTTCATCAGCTTTATCTCCCTTCTACTTTTGGGAAGCAAAAGATGAATTTTAATACATTTACGACCAGCAGAGAAGATTATAATAACCTAAAAAATAAAAACCAGGTTGTCATTTATTGAAGTGACAAATTGGAAATACAAGTAATAGAGCCCTTGTATTTAAGAGACAACAGTGGTTTCTCTAGGGATTTTGTAGGATTTCATCTGTGATTTGGTAGTCATATAAGTTCCATCAAAGATTCACATTCAGCCCTCAGGATGGTATTGAAACTTTGATTAAAATAAGCCATCTGCAATGTGCAAGTTAAACATGGCTCTTATTAAAAATGCATTGGTATCTGCATATTCTCAAAGCTTCCCAAACATCTGAGTATTACACAGCTGTCTGTGGTGCTTGGCATTAAATAGGGGGAAAGATACAGCTCTCTCCAGTCGAAATAACTTCTTGTTCTAACCATGTCTGTGTTTAGATGCTATGAAATGTATTGAAGAATCAGAAACGTTGTGTTTGAAGTCCTAGGCTCTGTGCTTGTGGGTGCCAGTGACTTGGAGGACTCAGTCTGACCTCTTGCCTAACCTCTTCAAAAGAGGGTAGATTTAGGTTAGATCTAAGGCAGAAGCTCTTCCCTGTGAGGGTGCTGAGGCACTGGCACAGGGCCCCATCCCTGGCAGTGTTCAAGGCCAGGTTGGACACAGGGGCTTGGAGCAACCTGGTTTGGTGTGAGGTGTCCCTGCCCATGGCAGGGGGTTGGAACTGGATGAGCTTTAAGGTCCCTTCCAACCCAAACCATTTTATGGTTCAAAAGGGGATAGCGTATGTGTTACCTGTGTTGTAGCTGGAAAGTCGTAGGAAAATGGGGTTTGTGTGTGGAAAAGCTCAAACCTTTAAATTTGAAGTGTGATAGGATGCTGCCTGAGCTCGCATGACACTGATGGAAAGAAGTGAAGAATGTTTTCTTAGCTGATACAGAAACAGCCGCGTGTCTAACGGGGGGAGAAGAGCTGGAGGGCATCCTGCTCGGCACCACGCTTCTTGCCAGTAATAGTTCTGGGATGTGTTCCTATGCAGATGTCACCCATTTGGTCGACCTGAGCAAGGAGTGGAACACGACTGTGACGATTCACTTTGAAGGGTGGCCCATCCGCACTCCGCTCATGTCTGAACCCATATGCCTCATCTGTAAGGACCCCCGCAACTGTGACCGTGCATTGACTTTAGTGTCTGGTGCCATCTACAAGATCTCCTTTCTGTGCAAGGACTTGTCCCGGCTGAGGATCACAGCTGAAAAAGGCATAAGTACGATGGAAGGGGCTTAATATGGTTTCCTATAGAAGTATTTTTGCATGCTTTTCCCTAGGGGTTGTCCAAACCTCTACCACTTGGGTTTTAAATAGAGTGTGGCTGGCAACCAGGCATTGGCCAGCTGGGAGATGGATATAGTGAATCTGGAGGCGATTTTTTGTTCACTACATCATTCTAACCTTAAAAATAGGAACTGCGTGGCCATTCCTAGATGGAAAAGGACAGAAGGCACCTAAGAGTCTTCTTAGGAAACTGTAAAATATGAAAACAGAGCAGGAGAGCCATAAATCTGCCCATGAAAATGCAGGTCCGAGCAGCCATCAGGAATGCATCTCATGCCACTTGCATGTCCACTTTATGTAGGATTTCCTGAATGCTTTCAACTACCATTAGGGAAAGAGTTTTCCAATGGATATCTGGGCTTTGGTTTGACTGCAGCAGTGTCCCAGTCAGCAAAAGTAGCATCTTGAGTGAGGGACTTTGAGTATGTCTGTGTCTGTTGATTTCTTTGGTGTCCTGCACACTTTGAAGGAAAGCTTTTTAGTACCAATGATATGTGTTTGGGTAATGTTTCCTCAGGTAGATGCTTATATGTATTTCTAACACAAAACTGACAGTGCTTTCTGTGTGTGTGTACACAGGGAAACTTGCTTTTCCTAGGTATTTCCTCTGCAAGAAACATACAACCCCTGGGGCTTGTTTTTGTGATTGCAGGCTGTGTCGATCTCCGGTGGTGTCAGAGGAAGATCTATTCCCTTTCAGTGCCCAACGCTATCACCCAGCTGCCCATTCGACTGCACAAGTTCATCTGGAAGCTCTTGGCTCCCGATCTGATCAACATAGAAATCACATCTCCATCCTTGAAACTTCAGCAACACGTCCCAGAGCAGAGGTGCAACACGAGCTACAGTTACAGCATTGTCAGTGCCACCCCGGAGACCGAGCTCAATGTTGGTGTATTCTGTCCTGGTGGATCCATTGAAAAGATTCAGATGAGGAATAATATCACCGTGTCTTTAAAAACGTTTGGTAAAGGATTCCTCAACGAGTCTAACCATCAGGATCTGAAAATGTCTTTCGTGCCTCATATTAAAGGTAAGGTAGTGTTTTGTACTACTTGGTTGCACAGTGTTGGATGTCTCGATACACTTACTAGAGCACATATGGATAAATAGAGTCCAGTCCTGGAGCCATTGCTGGGATCAGTCTTTATCTGAATCAGTGAGGTGGTTTATTCCTGGAAGAAGGAAGGAACTTTGTACTACAGATGGATGGTTGGTTGTAGGAAATTCTGCAGATATGGCTGTGCTAATTGTGTTAATGACTCATGTGGGAGGGGACAATAAGAGAGTTGTATTGCTGGTACTGAGGTGCAATTAACTGCATAGAATCCCAGAATGGTTTGGGTTGGAAAGGACCTTAAGATCATCCAGTTCCAACCCTCTGCCATGGGCAGGGACACCTCACGCTAAACCAGGTTGCCTAAGGCTCTGTCCAACCTGGCCTTGAACACTGCCGGGGATGGGGCATTTACCAGTTCTCACAGGGAAGAGCTTCTGCCTTAGATCTAACCTGAACTTCCCCTGTTTCAGTTTGAACCCATCACCCCTTGTCCTGTCACTACAGTCCCTGATGAAGAGTCCCTCTCCAGCATCCTTGTAGCCCCCTTCAGACACTGGAAGCTGCTCTGAGATCTCCACGCAGCTTCTCTTCTCCAGGCCAAACAGCCTGAGTGTTCTCAGCCTGTCTCCATACAGGAGGTGCTCCAGCCCCTGATTTGCTCCAACAGCTCCATGTCCCTCATGTTGAGGACACCAGAACTAAGTTTTCATTCCTTTATCCTTTTCCTTTACTACAGATGAGTGCACTTTCACTGTGAATCCAGATCCAAAAGCCAAAGTTTACTTGCAGACTCCCAACTGGCCTTACGGTCTCCCTCCTTACGTCTCCATATCCTGGTACATCCTTGTGCCCAGCAAGCAAGTTGCCCGCCTGGGGTTCTCCAAGGACCGCATGGGTATTGTGTGTGAGACGGGCCGTGCCTATGTCAACATAAAGGAAGAGACACCAGGGGCAGAGGAGACCGTGCGCCGGGAGGACGAGCTGCTGCCCCAGCCCCGAAATATGCATCACAACTTCTGGGTCAACGTCTCCAACTGTAAGCCTGTGGAGAGGACGCAGCTGACCCTGCAGTTCCAGGTGACTTCTGCTGACAAGCAGATAGGTGAGTCCTCGGGGGGCTGTGGTGGTTTGCTTCCTGCTTGTTTCCTGGCTTTCCCTTAGGGAAAGGGTGCTGGTCCTCCATGGGTGTGGGGTTCAGTAGAGCCCTGCCTTTGGACATCGCTGTCCTTTGGAAACCTGAGTTACAGCTGGGTACTTGTAGAAGCTGGGGAGGAAGGAAGAGTTTTATGTTTCTTTAGGGACTCTTTGTTAGGGACTGTAGTGATAGGACAAAGGGTAATGGGTTAAAACTGAAACAGCGGAAGTTTAGATTGGGTATAAGGAGGAAATTCTTTCCTGTTAGGGTGGTGAGGCACTGGAATGGGTTGCCCAAGGAGGTTGTGAATGCTCCATCCCTGGCAGTGTTCAAGGCCAGGCTGGACAGAGCCTTGGGTGCCATGGTTTAGTGTGAGGTGTCCCTGCCCATGGCAGGGGGTTGGAACTTGATGGTCTTAAGGTCCTTTCCAACCCAAACCATTCTGTGATTCTATGATTCTTTCTGTGGGATTTGGGGTGGTTTTCAGCTTGGTTTTTAGGAGTTTTTAGGTATTGCAGGGCTTGGGGGAGTAAAACTAGGTTTGATTTTCTTTAATTTAGCGTTTTTAATGAGAGATCACAGCCAAAACTTGTAAGATCAAGTGTTATTCTTCTCACCCAGCATCACAGACCTGGCTAATAACTTGAGATCTGCTTATGCAGACTTACTCATGCAAGTGGTCTTTACTTCATGATAGCAGTTCAGTTAATCTCAGCGTTCACATGAGGAAGAAACCAGCGCTGGGACAGATCTGACCATACAGTGGAGAGTATCCTGACTGCTATCAGCAAAATCTGCGTTCTTGATGTCTTTCATGTCCCTGAAGCATCAATAGCTTTATAAAAAAGAAGGGGTTAGGTGCATTTTTAGGGTAGGCTTTGCTTGTATCAATTCACTTCACATTTGTACTTTCTCTTTGCCTATGGGAGACCGCTGTCTGTAGAAGTATTGGCTACACAGGCTAGAACTGAAACAGGATGAAATGAATGTATATTATTTTCCCTCCTTATTAGTGTATACTACTTGTAAAACACACAGCTTTTTTCTTTGCTCACACATGGACTTTCCTGCTCAATTTGGTGACTCCTGGAAAACCCCAGGTCAACACAGCTTGTGTATTGCAGAGGAAGGGATGGCATTGAGGGGAGCTTGGTGAAATGTCACTCTTTCCTCTGTTGAATCTCTGTCTCTCTGCACTGTCTTCTCTTGCCTTATTCAGCCAGAGGCATGAAGGTAAGTTCAGCAACACACAAGCTGTACTGGGATGGGTTGGTTGGGGTTTTTACTTGTGCTCTGCTGCTTGCAGCCGTTTTGTCATTGCTTAGCCTCCCACCTCTTGGAAATGGCTTGGGGGATTCCTGCTCTGCTTCCAGTTGAACCCCTGAGGAGCTTCCAACCCAGACAGCTTTTAGGAGAAAGCTGGATGTTTTCCCTCTCTTTCTCAGTGTCCTTGTACCTTGTCTGTTTGCAGACTTAGGAGTGATACTCGCGGTGGTGGCCGGGGCTGGAGTTCTCACTGCTATTGGACTGACTGTGTGCTGCGTTAAGAAGAAGTAAGTTCATACCTTGGCGTGTTCAAGAAGGCATTCTGGTGTTGCTGGTGGCCATGTGTTCCCCATGCACAGATCCCTTGAACAAGGGTCTGAAGCATGATGTGGACAACGGCAATGGAAGCAGTGCAACTCCAGGAATGCTGCTTTGCTCTAAAATGACTGACTTGGAGTAGAGCAGCAATCCCGGAGTCGCATCACTTCAACTCCCAGTGCATTGCCTCTCTTGGCCTTAGCACAGGCTTCTGGCTGTACTGTAAGGCATTGGTTAGCCTTCATAAGCAGTTCCTGTGAGATGAGGTTGTCATGAATGTGGCTGCTGTACATGTGACTTTAGACAAGGCTTCAAACAAGCTGTAATAAACCAGGAGCTATCTTTTATCTACACAACCTCCAGCAGCTTCTCCTGGAGTCTGCACATCAAGTGGGAACGTTTTTGTGTGAGATGAGCCCTTGGGGAGAGAGCTAGGCTGTGCAAAGCAAACATGCATATCATTACTCACAGAAGCAGAGCCTGAAGTCATCGATAGCTTGGGGTTTCTGATACATGTATGCTTAGTGCTGGCAGCGTGATGGGGTGCTGAAGCTATGGAGCTGGAATGAATTTGGGCAGTATGATGGCAAGACCAGTTATAAGGACACGTCTCTGCCACACAGAAAAGACTTCACAAATACAGGCTTCAGAATCTTCAGCCTTTCAGACAGTTCAGAACGTGAAACCAAGTAAAGTTAATTCAACTTTCTTAGAGGACTCACTGTCTTACTCATCTTCAGTAATGCTCAGTCTTGTTTTGTGAGGATCTGATGGCCTCTAGATCCTGACTAAGGACACTGGGAGACTCTTTACATGGCACAGCTAGGACCCCCGTGCTTGGGAGTTCATCTTACAACTGTCAGGGTCAGCAAAGCAGCAGTTAGGTAACCAAAGAGCATAAGTTATTAAATGCAATAATAGTTATTATTAACAGTAAAGTTATTTTCTCCTCTGTTAAAAAAGCACATCTAGGCTCAAGAGTTATTCTTCCTACGATTGCAAGTAAAGCCTTCAATCCACGTAGACTTGGGTGGCTGGGATGAGTAAACAGAAGCTGTTGTTATTCACTGAGTTCAAACTCACCAGCCATGTGTTGCTGGTGACCTGTTAACACTTTCAACTCTGTTAACAGGAAGAAGAAAAGCCAGGACCCCATGGTGGGAGTCTACAATCCTAACGTGAATACCCAGATGCCTGGGAAACAAGGCTTATTCACAAAAGGGAGGAAAAACAACGAATCTCATGTCTATGCAGTTATTGATGATGCTATGGTCTATGGGCACTTGCTGAAGGAATCCAATGGCTCAGTCAGTCCAGAAGTTGATGTGTACCGGCCTTTTGATGGACCCGTTGGTAGCTTGCCACCCTCTCCACCTCCATTCTCCTTCAGAAAAGACATTAAACGCTCTTCTAACACCGAGGACCCTCCACCTCTGACAGGCATGGACCAGGACACTTACACCTTTGCTCATCAGAAATCCGGGCAATCAGAGGACAATGGCGATACAAATGAAGAGACAAATGGAGATACAAGCACATCCTTGCTGGAAGATAAGGAACAGGATGGTTCAGTGGAGTAATTTTACACCAGGAATAGCAGTTTCCTGTGGAAATCCAGGTGTAAGCACAGGGGTCTAGGGAAAAAAAACCTGAAGAGGAGTGTTATTTTTAAAGGTGTGTTGATGTTGTTTCTGTCTGTGTGTGTGTGTGTATTTGGTTGTTGGTTGGTTTTAAACGTCAGCTGTTGATAGCTTTCAGTTTTAGAGTGAACATCTATCAAACTACCAAACCAGCTGAGACACTCCAGGACTGCATGCGCTTCTGGTTGTGAAACGGGTGGCAAAGGTACGCTCCTGCTTTTTATTACAGAGAAAATGAATCCCTGCCTGCCAGCTTAAAGCTGTGGCAATCAATAAAGGGGGGAGAGCGTTCTGTCCAGTATTTTCCTCCTTTCACAAGTCATTTGTTCCTGAGTGTTGGTTGGTGACTCTTGGAAGACATAGGCTACATCGCTGTCTCAGGGCAGCACGCATCTAAGCAAAGGAGGTGATGCTGTCGTTTCCACCTCTTGCTGCTTGGAAATCCATCATGTTTAGTGTGCAGGTGGTTATGAATGTGTAGTGAAAGGCCGTGTATGCCACCTGGAAGAGCTCCATGTGTAAGTTTGAGCTTGGGCTCTTCTAGTTCAGAAGTAGAGTTATGGGTTTTCTCTCATTTCCAGCTGACTTTGTTATACGGGGTTAGCCTGCACCAAAGCCTGTTTCTCTGAAATGCAAAGAATGAGAGTGAATCCATAAGGAAAGCCTTGATTGTTTAATTAGGGTTTTGTTTAATCAGTGTGGATTTAACAACTGTGCTGAAATGATGGTGGGAACAGCTCTTGATTTCTAGTGGGACTTACACTTAGGGTGTCTGGCTGCCTTTGACAAGCACCTCTTGAACTCAGGTAAACCACAGGTCTCATTTATAAGTGCTGTACTTAGGATGCCACTGGGTGTCTGTGCCTTTTAACACTTGAGGGTCAGGTCTTTGTGCATAGGATTACGGGTACATGAATAAAGTTGCCTTTTACATAGAGACACCTGGCTTGTCCAGCTGTGCAGTTCCTGAGGATGTTTGCCATTCTGCATGCAGCACTAGACCCAAGGAGTTCTCTCCAGATGTCTTCTTATGACTGTTTCTTGCCTAGTGATACACAGTGGTGCCATAAAACTTTTAGTGTTGCATGCAATAATGTTCAACATATATTGATGTCTAAAATGAGAATGTCCTTACTAGATACCTTATTGTTTACATGTTTTACAATGTGGATTTCTTCCTGTGTTAACGATGCTGGCATTGCAGATTGCCTATTTATTTGGTGAAGTGTGTGTATTTTAAGTGTGTGCTATTATACTGCTTGGACCGCTATAACATTCACTATAATGTTGTATCTGGCTCAGTTTTGTGTAGCATATAGCAAACCACGTGCCAGCTAAAAGTGCCTTTTAATTGTTTCATGTATTTTCATGCTTATCATTTTTAATAGAGAAGTATGTATTCCTAAATCTCTGGCAAGTCACTGGGAACCACGCATTTCAAAGTGTACTGGGTCATTTTAATGCCATTTGAGAACTGAAAAAGAGATTTCTGCAATACTGGCATCTGTTTTTCTCAGGTAACTGAATTGCCACAGTGCATTTTGATCAGAGTAGTCCAGTTGTGCCTTTGTCTGCTCAGTGTTTCTCACTTTTATTGAAAAGGAATAAGCGTAAGAGCAATTCAGGGCTGTCTCATCCCTCTGGCTCGGTTTCTGCAGTTGCTTAGACGGACATTCTCCTTCTAACCAACAGAAGAAATCGTAATGGAGGTCAGGCTTGTGTTCACAGCATCTTCGTCTCTGAAGGAAGAGCATGATGCTTGTTGGCTGGTGGTTTTATGTGTTGTATTTTAACTCATCGTCCGGTACGGCAGTATGAACCTTAGTTTACGGGTGTTTCCAGTCTAAGGTTGACTTTCACTGTGCTCATTTTGGTTAGAGTGAGAGTTCAGGCACAAATCCCCCCCAGTTTGCTTTTCATTAAGTTGTGACTTGGGTTTATTTTTAATAAATATATAAAACACAATGATACTGCCAGCTGGAATAAGTAGTGCATGTCTCATGTGTGTGTAAACTCAGCCTTGGGTATTTTGATGCTTGACTGTCGGTAGCTGCACCATCGATGATGGAAGATACCGCTGACCGTGTGTGTCCTTTTTCTCCCATAGCCTACTATAACCTGCTATTAATTGCTGGTTTTAGAGGCATGTGTTTAGATCACTGGGGAGAAGGGGTTTAAGGTATTTGAAGCTTTCATTTAAACATAAATGGTTCAGTGGCTTCTTGGCAGGGTCACGATGCCGGTAATTCATTCAACTGACACACACAATTGAATTCCAAATTCATTTCCTTTCAGGGATAATAGCATAAAAGCGCATTTTATGATCAGTCCTTCAGCCCAAGAGAGATCCTTATGAGAATGATCCTTATGAAGCCCTTTTTTGTTCATACCACAACACGTTGTGGCCAGTATAGAAACTGGAGGGAGGGTCCAGGAGCCACCGATGGCTGCTTGGGATGGGCTCAGTATCGGTCAGTGGGCTGTGAGCAGTTGTGTTGTGCATCACTTGTCTGTCTTGGGTTTTATTCCTCTCTCTAGCTGTCCTTATTTCCTTATTTCCTGTATCTCAGTTATTACACTGTTCTTATCTCAACCCATGCATTTTATCTTTTCCAGTTCTCATCCCACCAAGGGGGGTGAGAAGATGCATGTAAGCCAGTAGCTGCGTGGTACTTAAGTTACCAGCTGGGGTGAAACCACAGAAGTATGTTTGCCCTTTATTCATTTCCTTAAATTAGTGAGAGTTTATTTAATAAGTGTTAAACCCTAAAATGTAAGCAAAGGCATAATGAAACCTTTTAGTATGGTTGTTTGGTGAACATTTTATAGCTTATTCTTGCTGAGCACATAGAAGGCAGCAAGCCTTAGATCTTCTTCCCTAATTTCTTTTATTTGGATTAACAGAGAGTAAGCTTCTAAATACCTTAAACCAGCTGGCAACACAGATGATTTCATGCCTATGTCTGATACCCCTGAAGACAATTCAGTGGTTTTCCTTCCCAGTGAAGACTCAAAGGCTCAAAACCAGCTTTTGACTCGTGAGTCCCAGATTCTCACCCACTTTTGCCTATCTGGCCCTTCTACTGAAGCCCAAAGCAAGCTGGGTGCTAGCTGGGTGCTGAGGTGTGTTAACAGTGTGCTGCTGTGGCCCTTGCTCTGAGGGATGCTTCAGAAAGGTATTATCTATGGTAAACCACTTCTAGCCACTTGGTCTGTACTTGGTAGACAGGGAGGTGAGTGCATTAGCCTAGCTCTGTGGATAGGGTAATACTGGGGTGACTCCTTCAGTGGGCTCACCCAGTAACCTTCCTTCATTTATATAAACAGATGCACATTTCATGCCTCACCTTTCTTCTGCTGCGTTACAGAGCCACAGGCAGCTGGGCAGCACCAGCAGTGGCACCAGGATCTTACACATCTCCTGTTTCAATAGCACGGGGTTCATTTGCTATTGCAGGTGTCGCAATACGTTGGTTCAGGCCTGATCACTTCCACATTCCTTTTTTTGGGGGGAAAAGCTGAGATTTCTTCCCATTATCCTGTGTGCCTTCGGTTGGGACTGCACTATGTGAGCAGCAGATGTTTCTCTCTGGCTTGAGTGCCAAAAGGATTTAATGGAGGATCCAAAAAGTGATGCTTGTGCCAGCCCCCAGCAGATGGACCACATCCCACAGCTGGATGGACCACAGTTCCCTCTGGAGTAGGGGCAGCCACAGACAAAGAGTGCTGTGGTAAGCAAGGATGAGGAATCTTCTTGAGCTTCTTCTTTGGCTTTTAAAAGGGGGTTTGTAGTTCATAACATAGCGCAGGGAGCAGCGTGTTGAGTAATACTAAACTCGTAAATGCAACCATGGAAGTGCAAGGCCAGTTTTGGCAGCCTGGATCCAACAACTACAGCGGGAACAAAGCCACCCTTTCCCTGTGCTCCTCCCAGCTCCAGAAGAGGAAAACAGCTATGAAGGGTGGTGCTGGCAGGGAGGTGGCTGAGTGGAAATAGGGAGCAAGAGAGATGCAAGTAAGAAGTCTGCTAGATTTCAACAGATTGACTCTTTAATATCCTATCTGGGAATATCCTTTGGCATCCCTCTCCCTGGCTGTTTTCCAGGTTCACATTCCATGTAGGGATGGCCCAGCTACAGCACCCCCATCTTCCCCAAAGCTCAGCATCACCAGGAGCCATGGCTTTTGCATTGTTCCTCTTTAGTTCTTGGGCTCCCATAAAAGCCCTCTATTTCTCTGACCACACATTTGTGTTTTAAGGCTTTGTGGTTTATGACCAGTCAGGATCAAAGCCAGCAACGCTTCCAGCTCCTCAACACATGGAGGGATCGTCTGCCAAGGGAACTGGAGGGTTTATATAGAGACAAGCTGGTTTGTAGGGTGTAACCATGACCTACAGCAAAGAGCCTTGGAAACCTTGTGGATTAGGGTCTAGATTAAAGTTTGGCAAAGGGCTGACCTCTTATGCAAAACAGACCTAATTCCATGTGCAGTTCTGCAGCACTTGAACCCTCCCAGCCTGCTTTGGAGCTGTGTCCTCCTCATGTATGGTCTCTCCCCTGCAGGATGCTGAGGAGGAGGATGAGGAGGGGGAAGCCATCACCACCTTAGGGAGGGAAGGAGTGGGATGCTCTGCTTGTTGTGGAGGAGGTGGGAGGCAGCCTGGGACCCAAGATGCCACCTCCCCCAGCACTGCTACCACTGCCAAGCAGGGGTGAGGGAAGGACCTTTCTTATGGGGTGGCTTTTATTTCAGTATGAAATTCCCCAACAGCAAGGGGAGGGGAGGAAGGGAATCTTATTTTCCTATGTGTATCCCATACGTATGGCATGTGACGAGGATGATAACAGGGAAGCGGGGTTATCCTACAAACCATCGCACAGCGGAGGAGGCTCTCCCTTTCTGCTTTCCCCCTCTGCCTTTGATATCTCTGACCTGAGAGATCCCTGGAGCTGCTCTGAAGGGAAATGCAAGGAGAAAAAAGCACTCTGACCACGCTGACTCAACTCCATTCCTTCAGCAAGCTCTATAAGTATCTTTATTTTATAGTCATTTGAACAGCGGAGAGGTTGGCAATAGTGACAGCCTTGGAAGTGTGCACTCTGTGTTTGTGTGTCTGTTTTGATCCCTCCAGCTTGGTTCCCACTTATGTCCTGGAAGACCCACAATCGAGCTGCTTTTACACAAAGCAGCACATGGAAATACCTCTCCCATGGGCTCCCCAAAGCATCATGCCTCAACACCCCCAATTTGGACTGGAGGGGTAATACCAAGCACGGGACTGCAAAGAACCACTGCTACCTTCCAGCCAACAGCCC